AAAAGAGAGAATGATAAAGAAGGGGAAAGAGAATATTGAGAGAAACAATAGTGTTGTAATGATTCGGGCGGTGATGGCCAAAGTTGAAGGAGAATGGAGAAGGGGAAGAGAAAGGAGGAAGGGAGAGAAGAATAAAGAAGGGGAGAGAGAAAAATGCTAGTGTTTTTAAAGCCAACGACGGTTGTGGTAGCAGCAACTTGGGCGATGAGGGTTGGGTTGAAGACTTGAGGAGAAAGAGAAGTAAGGAAAGAAAATAAGGCAAAGGGAATAAAGGCGAGATTAAAAATTTAAAATTTTTGGAGTTCTAGACTCCCGTAATAGTGGTAAACTCCGTTAATTTGTGATAAATAAGGGGAGCAATGTGGAACTTTGTCATTGGTGGTTGTAGAAAATTTTCTGCACTTAGGATGAAGAGGATGTGAGGTGAATGAACCGCTTTTCAAGTCCTTGATCTGAGTTTATAGGCACTTCACCAAGCCTTTTAGTGGGTTCCTTGGTCCATTGTGGTTGTCAATGGACCACTTTTCCAATCTCTCAACAATCGCTACCATGGTTTCAAGGTTAAGGTGAAGCTCATCAACACGATCGCAAGTTTCACCAACCACTACTTTGCAACGCATGATGCATCTATCCATGGCTGCAAACATGTTAATAGACTTCTCACGCTTTCTAGCCTTCGATCTGGTGCCTTTCTCTTTAGGAGAAATACATTTAAGCATGTCCTTATTGTAGACCTGGGACTATGTGGGCTTGGTAGCTCCTAGTGTCAACCGTGCTCTGGTACCAACTATTACAAGGCTATGCATTGGGGCCCTGTGCGACACCCGATGGTAGTCGAGTAAGCCTAAGAAGTAAACAAAGCAAAAAATAAGGCAACAACAAATACACATAAATTAGACAAAATGCTCTTTGTATTGCCTTAAAATATTGAAAGCACAAGCACACAAGTTTGTGTCGAGGGGACCTCATGCTTAACCTTTACACGATCTTAGCACCACTCAACTATTTACCTCCCCTCAAAGAGTAACCTAAGCTTTTGGGGCTTTGACAGAAGGATACATCAAAATGTTGAATAGTCATACTAGTATTTACAATGTTGCCATTGGCATACCCCTATACAAAATGCATACAATACAATGATCCACCCAAGAGACATATGACAACACTCGGATGGCGTGCTGATGGCAATGTTGGTGGATGAACCGTCACAAGAAGATATTTCCCAAAAACCCTCCCAAATGAGCACTAGAGTGTAGAATTAGAGAAATTTACTTTTTTTCCTACTCCATGAGGCTGCATAATGGGAGTAGTCCATCCCCCAAGCCTGGTGTAGAAAGGATTCGATCCCAAACCTCCACTACAACCAAGAGACCTTACCAACCAACCAGTTGGCACTTTGCTAGAAAATTTTACTTGTAGACATGACCACTCTCCATAGGTCAAAATTATATCCTTCACTCTAACCCAACTTTTCAGTATAAATACCCACCACAAGAACAAATACATGCTACTTTCTGTCTTGGGAGTGAAGTGTATGGATTAACATGAGACGTATCCATGGTTAGAGGTCTAGCTTTCTTTATTATACGAGGAAGAACAGTACTTTTGAAAAGTACATAGCTGCTATCCCATTTTATCATATGCCTACTAAACATTTCCTTAAGAATATTTGCTATACTATTACTTCTCTTGGAAGGGACTTTTGATGGGATGGCTCCAATGAGAAACAAATATTTCCTTCTTGGAGTTGGCAACTTGTGAACTTACCTAAAGAAAAAGGTGGGTTGGGGATTAAGAAAATTTTTTTAACCAAGAAATAGAGCCTTGGTGATGAAACTCTGTTGGAGGTTTCTTATGTCAAATGATCTTTGGTCCAAAGTGCTTTGAGCTAAGTATCTTAATGGGGCAACACCCAAAAACTCAAATACTATATTTGCGGTAGGGGTGGCAAGGACCCAAGCTTTTCACGAGCTATTCGAGCTCAGCTCGTGAAAATCTCGGCTCAACTTGGTTTAAACCGAGCTCGAGTCCAATTTATAGGTTTGTTTGCTAAACGAGCCAAGCTCAAGCCTAATAAAGCTCGGCTCATGAGGCCCGTGAGCCTAATTGAGCTTCTATATTATATATAATATTTTTATTTTTATATATAGTAATGATAACTAATTATTATAATTATTAATTTTTTAAATATCAAATAAAAATAAATTTATATATATATATATATTATAAAGCATTTGGCTCATAGTCGAGCTCGAGCTGAGCCAAACTCGAGCTCAAGTCTTTAGCTCAAACTAAGCTCAAGCTCGAGCCTCATATTGTCTTGGCGAGCCAAGCTCAAATAGCTAACTATTCAGCTCGACTCAGCTTGAATCCACCCCTAATTTGCGGTGTGTAGTGTGTTGAAGTCTTGTTGTGTAGGGCTGATCTTTGGCGAGGAACCTGTTGATTGGTAGGGAATGGTTGATTCATCGATGCTCTCTCTGACCCATGGATACTTGGTCCTCTTTTACGAGATCAAATCTGTGTCCCACAACATATTCCAACCATGTATTGGGAACATCTCCCACTAACAAATTTGGGAGATGTTCCCAATGCACGCTGAGATGTGCGTGTTGGGTGCAGATGTGATCTCCTCTTTTACGTCTACTGAAGAAATGATTCCTTTTATATCAGGTCAAAGGAAGATAGCACATACTCAGGTCTACATTCAACCAAGTACAGTATGCAGCAATACAGCAAATCAGATTGCCAATAGACATATAGTTGAGCGAGCACATGTCCTAGTTTGTAGTTGCCAATGGACTGGTTTTGGGTTTGATCCATCCAATCAAAATCAATTTGAACAGATTGGATGGACTATAAGACATATTAAATTAGACCAATACAAACTTAATGGTCCAAAGTATTCATTGGATTGGATTGACCTGGTCCATCCATAATGGATTTATGTATTAGATTGGGTTGGATTGAACCAATATACGGTCCATTGATAAACATGTATCAATGGACCGGGTTTGGTTTGGAAACAATCTAAATTAAAACTAATTTGAACAGATTGGATAGTCTAGACATTGAATTGGATTGGTCCAAAATGGTCCAGGGTGTTCATCGGATTGAATTGGACCTATTCCATCTATAATGGACTCATATTGGCCATATCGGATTGGACTGAATCTAGTCAAATTGACATCCCTACTAGCTTGGACGAAGAAATCTTCTGGGGTACTAATTGTGTCTGCTGCCTATAAAGAGTTTCATTTAGGGGTGTCTACGATATTCGAAAATCCAATTTCGAATTCGAGATTTGACATAATCAAATCGAATTCGAATGACTTGATTTGATTCAATAAATATCCGAATTCGATCAATTATTTAATTCTTATATATTTATATACTTTATATAAATAAAATATTTTTTATATATTTATTAATTACCTAAATTAATTGGTTGAATTTGAATTGAATAGAATGTTTCAATATTTAATTGAATTTAAATCCGAATATTAATTTTCAATGTCCGTCGGATGTCGAATTAAATTCAGATATCAAATTTTATAATCAGATTCGAATTCGGATACTTTCTGATTCAATTCGAATTCGAACCATTTATGTTGCGTCAACAGGCTAGACAATCCTCAAATTCACTAGTGAGCTTGGAGTGAAAAATCCTTTATTGAGGGAGATGCTTTTATGATCATAAAAGGCGCTGTTGGAGACTAATTGCTCTCCTTTTTGGCGTTTAAATAATGTGTTTCCGACTGTAGATTTTGTTTTATCTATTAACCATGGCCGACTGTACATTCTGTTAATTCTTAAGCACACTATTTAGCTAGGTTTGCTTTATCCATTAACCATGTTCAGACCTGGTCTGTGTGTCCCTTCCTTTCTTCCTAGTTGTATCGAGGAGGATTGTATTTTGAGCACGTAATTAATGAATTTTGCCTTGTTAGGCTTCAGGGGAAAAAAGAGATTGTAGAATTCTGAGGATCAATCTTACGTCTCGTGTCTCAAGTTTCAAGTCTCATCTAGCTTCCAAGACTAAAATTTACAATCCAATGATTTGAATTTTGAACCTAATAAAGATAGCAAATGTCCTCTATCATGGTTTTTAAAAACGAACCGGTGATCAAACCAGTCAGGGGTCCGGTTACCGGTTTGAATGGTCCGACCGTTCGACCCGAATGGCCGGCCCATTCCGACAAAAAAATAAAAAAATTGGAAAATGGTCAAAACTGTTCAAACGGTTAACCATCCAGTTCAGCCATTTGCTGACCAAAATCAATTGTTTTGGAGGAAAAAGCAGTTTTAGAGGAAAACGGAACCGGTCAGGTGATCGGTTCCCAATTTTCCGGTCCGGCCAGTTTTGAAAACAGTGTCCTCTATATTCCTATTAATTTTAGCCTCCATTTGGATAAGCTTTTGCTTTTCAGTTTTGGACTATGTAAAACGAAGTTGAGCAAAAACGTGTTTTTGAGTGTTTGGTGAGAGTTATTTTAAGTTGATGATAATCTAAAACCAAAACATTTTTTCAGCCCCAAAGGGCAAAACCTTGAAAACACACAGTCTAAAATTTTGGACCTTAAAAACACATATCCTGAAGCTTATCCAAATGCAACCTTAGCTTTCAAAAACTGCATAGCAATTAATGATGGTTTTGTTTCTCATCGTTTATCGTTAATATTTTATTCTTCTCCGTCTCCTTTTTAAAGTACTCTACCTAATAGAAACAAGGGGTGAAATTTTACTCGCTCTGAGAAAAAAAACTACTTGCTTTTGTACATGTGCAGCCCACAAGTGGGACATCACAAGCTAGAGCAAGGAAGCTGATTGACATTGCACCCCTACATACTTGTTATTGGGTATTGCACCTCTACATACAGACAAGCTAAGAAGCAAAGCCATTTTCTAAAGCTTTGACAATTATTCCTGTCTTTCTCCAAGCTGATAGATTGATGGTAGCAATGAATGTCTGACATGTTTGATTTTAAGTTCCAGTACAATGAAAAGATAATCAAATATGCAGCTGCATTGAAAGATAATATTGAAATTCCCTGCAATATTGGTCATTGCTAATGTTACACTAGTATCTGGTAAGGGTTGTTGATAATTTCCACATTAATACACTGTATTTTTAATATATATATATATATATATATATATATTTAAGTAGAAGAAAAAGATCAGCCAGATTAAAGTGGATTTCTTCCAGATGTGTATTCTCTAAGGAATTCAACAAATTGGTTTTCAAGAGTTGAGAAATCATTACATTGAGTTCATGCTTGGTAAATGTTGTGAATTGCTTTATTTATACTTCTACAATCATAATCCATTGTTTTCATCCAGTTCTCAAAGTCTCCAATTTCCTGTGTCATCAGATCCATATTCCATAAGAATGTTAGAACTCAAAGTAATTGGGCTTATATATATATACACTAATTTGCTGTACAAACCATATATGATATATCATACATATCATAGTATATATGGTATTTGGATTTAACTTTTATGACTTGCACACACACACACACACACATAGCAGTATCTGCAATTGCCTAAGAAATTGATTCAGCACTTGAGCTTCCAAACAATTGGATCTTGTGTTTCTGCTTTTCCAGAATGCATCGAAATGAACTAAATTCACTAAATGATATTGGTAGTTTTAGCCAAATCAACATGAAAGGCTTCTTCCTGATCATAAGTTTTAAGAAAAGATTACAAAGAGCATTAGATGATGCTTTGGGATTGGATTGCACATGCTTTTACATAAATTTGATACCTAACATGAAGACAAATAAACACTACCAGATGACCTACAATTCAAAAAGGTTATGTTGTTGGCAAAGTCTTGAATTCATGCATCCTCCTTGAGGTCATCAACATACTAATGAACCATTAAATGATCTATCTACTAAGAGGATAACAGGCTTGGAAACAAGTATTCAATTTAAAGCAACATAATACTTAATCAGTGCTAGACCTGTTCACGGGCCGGGCGGCCCAGGCCAGGCTCTGCCTCTTTATAAACAGAAAATCACGAGGCCCAAGCCTGAGCCTGGCCCTATATAAAGCCCAAAGCCCAATTTTGACATGTATTTTATATTATATTAAGCATATATTATTATATTTAATATATATAATACTTTTTTCATTATTAATTTCACTATTATATAATATATATTATATATTATTAACATAATTATTATATTTCTATTATATATATACTATTATCAAGGGCTACCCGACCCATGAACAGGTCTAATCACTGCAAAGGAAACCTGCATGACAAAAAGATACTTCATATCGGCCCTCATGGAGAATTCTTTTCCACACCTAATTATCTTGCTAATGTTTTGATAAAAAGTATTAAGTATGCAACTAAGCACTATCAATTGCCAGATGCTAGAAATGTTTCTTTGTAGTTGGTATAATTAGATCGATCTACCCCCTACCAGGCAATTGTTTTCATAGAACTCCATTTGTGCATAACCTTTGAATTGATTATTAATGCCATCTCCCATTTGAGCAGGTAAATTTTCTTGCATAGCCATAGTTTGGTTTTTTCAAGTAAATGCCCAACAAAAAATGTGGGAGGTATAAATATGGCAAGGAACTCATCTGAATATTAGATAATCAATATGAGATTTAAATCTACTTTAATCTAAATTATAACAGCCCATACTGCTAAGCATGAGATCAATTTATGCTAAAGAAAGTCCCCCCCCCACAATTCTTGTAGCTTCTTTCAATGCTTAGGCTAGCAAACCCTTGGAAGGAATAAAGAGAGGAAGAACATTAACTATATGATTTATATCCAAGATGCCTAGATACTTGTACTAATATGGGATATGTGGATATGACTCTTTATTTATCAAAATCTAGGAAACATAAGCTGATCCCATGATCCTATTGTCAGTGTTTTAAGCTATTTATCTAACCAAACACTTATATCCTCTCAAATTCAATGAAAAATATGAAAATCTTATTGTAAGATTTGTTAAATATGTCTTACAATTTTTTAAACAGGATAAATACATAAGTTATTAGAAGTTAAGAGGATAATATTTGAAAATAATGACGATATTACTGTACACATATCAATGTAGTACACAGTGTGGGTATCTTATCATATTGTGTCAACATCGACACACTAATCATTTTCAGGATTCCAGGTATCATCATTAATGACATATAAGTAAAAACCAGTAATTTATTTTGCAAAAGTTGGATGCTGGTAAAAAGGTACTCTAAGAATGGGGAATGAAAATAGCATATCCTAGTGAATGAAGTAACACATGACAGCATGCCATAATGTCAAATGCCATAAAAATTACACAGAAAATACAAGAAAATTCCTAAATGAAAGAAGCATCCTATATCTAATTGAAATTTGAAATTTTGACACAGAAATTTAGTCATAGTTATCACACTTGTACATGGTATTCACTTATTGTACATTTTAGAGAAAATGGTTCTTATAAAACTGAATATTCTTACAAAGGAAAATGATTCCTCTGGGAGTCCAATAGGGTACCAGAACTTCAATCCATTAAAACTCTTGATTGTCAAGTGAAGATTGAGTTCTTGTATACAATTTCTTGTTTATCCACGTTCTGTTTTAGGACCACCACAACTTGAGTTTTAGCCCTGCATGATACTTATATTTATGGCCCAGGCTTACAACTGGAACTTTCCAAGTACATCTCAACCTTCAAGTGGTAATTTAACTTGGGTCACCTCATGAATTGCCATTAAATTTTTCCTTTTTTCTCCTTTTAATATTCTATTATTGATTTCCTTGTGTACGCATTTTCTCTCAATTCCCACTTACTGTGGGAAATCTGCTCCTTGCTCCTTATAAATAAATTCRATTGGAATCATAACAACTTTCCCAGGTCAAGAAGGTAGACAAATCCATTGAAACTGGGAATCATGGAAACTTGGAGTAGGAGAAGGACATAGTGGAAGATAAGATTTCAAGGTGATTACTATTGATGAACCTAGGATTAATATACCACAGATATGTCCAGATATTTTGATAATGGACTATATATATAGGATGGTCATGACTTAAAATCCCCAAGTTATATTCAAGACTCAACGCCTCAACCTAAACAAGGTTTGTCTTCAAACCCTCTTGGTAGCACATTGAGTGATTACTTTTCGATTCTGAACAGATGCAAGCTCTATAAGAACTTTGCAACTATTTCAATCAAGGAGAGTGTAAACTTTTTCCACATTGTAGCTTTAAACCATAGGACACATCTTTTCAGTTGTCCTGAATAATCTTAAACAAGTAAGTTTACCCAAGAATCTTCAAATTTGTCTTTTTTTTTTCTTTCAAGCTGCATTAAGTTTGCTTTTGCTTGAGTGCTCAGTTGAACTCCTAAGAAAAAGCGAGAGTAAAGTGCTTTAAGCTAGAGTATATAATTGGATTGATGTGACTTTAAAAACATATAATCTTATTTGGTTTCAGAACAAAAAGAAAAACTGCAAATACATCGGTTTGGAAACACATCTTCATGAAATAAACCCTTTTTTCAATGTCCGGATCCACTCAATTGCAAAATATGTAAAACCCACTAAGGCGGCACTGTAAACTCAAGTGCGCATCATGTGTGAACTCACCATACCTCTGTGTCCAAATTGGGACTTTGACCAAAAACAAGAAATGGTTTAATTGCTCCTTTGAGAGAAGGTTGTTACCTGGTGAGAAAAACAATATTTCTTTTGCTTTTGAAGCAAGAAAGAAAAATGCTTTTCCAAGGACAATCTAATCAATCCTAATTTTCTGTCAAATGTGTTCATGAAATTTGGACATTTGTTCTTTTATTGTAAGTAGCTATCGTGCTGGATCATATCGATTTGTGGAAACTACTGCCTAATCTTCAGATATGGATTAAAACTATTTAAGCCGGTTGGTTTTTGCTCTTGTTTTGATTTTCCATCCCTGAAAAGATTGTAGTTTGACGTCCTCGCAGCACAAATTCGGTTTTCTTTTCTTGAAAGCTTAAGATCTTACAAATTAGCCAACATTTGTAGTTGATGTCTTCGTTTTTGTTCGGACTTTCTTTGAATTTATTTGTATGTATTATCTTCGAGGTTTATGTATCAGTATGTTTTGTGCTCTGATAGCTTCTGCTGGAGCAGTGTCGTTGCCAATTGGTTGACCTTAACAGCAGAGATTAAGGCATGACCATACCAGAGGAAGAGCCAAAAAGGAAAACAATATATAACGATTAACGAATCCTAAAGTTCCATGAAAAGGCCTTATGCTCTACTTGCCAGCCAACCACAAATGACTAACCTTAACAGCAGAGTTTAAGGCATGAGAAGCAGCAAGCCACTGATCTGTTTGCTTCGCATATCGCATAATCGTAGCAGATAAAGATCGAATTTCGAGTTCAATTCGTTTTTCATTGATGAAAGATTCTTGCACTCCACCATTGACCGTGTCCAGCAAAGCATCTGAAACTCGAATTGCAGTTTTAATGGCAGCCTTCTTTGCTTTCTCTGTTAAATGGGGAAAAAATGCACTTTTTAGGGCTTCCTTTCACTAGGGTTTCAATCATCAATACGAAATTATAAGAAAAAATAAAAGAAATGAATCGACGATTTGTTCCATAATAGAAAACAAACTCAAAATGAGATGATAAATTTGTTAAACCAGAGACAGAGTGAACTGAATTTGATTCGTCTCCATCCTATAAACTTTAGAAGAAATAATTTTATAAAAAAAAAATTGAGAAGAAAGAAAACAGACCGGTTTCTTCTCGGACCCTGAGGGAGGTCTGCTGATGATCCTGGACGAGTTGAAGCAACGAAGATTCTAAGCCTCCCACTTCTTTGCTGTGTCTCTCGATGTTTGGAGAGCTCCGCACTCGCGTCGGGGGCTGACGGGAATACATTTTCAGAGATCGAGCCAGAAATCAGAATGCAGCAGGTGATGTAGTGGGAAGTCTTTGATCGGAGTTGTGGAATTGGGATCTACTCACAACAAAAATTGAACCGAACACGGTTCGAATCTGATCAGTGCCTATGCGAATACAGATCATGTTGGAATGCGAACAATTTTTCGTTGTGAGCCGATCCGGGCTCGAAGTTGTTGTATTAGTGTATAGTCTAAACTTGCGAGTTCGGATCGGCTACCAACCTACTGTACCAACAATGCCCTAGTGGCTCAGGTCTGCTCACAAGCAACGTTTCAAAAAACGACCCGGAAACGAAACCGTTTTGGCCACTGGTTTTCGGGTCAACGGTCCAATTGTTGGGTTCGAATGGACATATCATTCTGATAAATAAATTTAAAAAATAATTAAAAATAAAAAATGGTCAAAATCGTTGAATAGGTCAACGAGTTGATGGTTCGATTGCTTGGGTCAACGATTTGTTGACTTTTTCAATGGATTTTTACCAAAACCGGGTTTGGGGTAAAATGGAAACGCTTGCCTGGATGGTTCCCGGGCTGAACAGTCCGACCAATTAACCTTGCTCACAAGTACAACAAAAATTTGTTTTTTAGGGTTCGAGTATGATATGGAAAAGATATGATATCCGAAAAAACAACCGACCAATTAACCAAAATCATAAACATGGTAGGGGTAGGGAACATGGTGTTATTTATCAAAATTTATGGGTGGATTTTGATTGGTCAAAACTCTTTTCATATCATAGATTTTCCCTAAGTTTCAATATGATTTGTGTCTGCACATCGCAAACATGATGGGTCTCATAAAGTTTTATGGTGGGTTCCAGTCTCATGGTGAGATGTGTGGATACAGATCATATGCATAGCATGTTGGGATAGTTTTTGTTGTAAAAGCTTGTTTTGAATGTGCGATTGTGGTGGCCTATAAATTTCGGGTTGAATGGATTAGACCGTGCAATACATATATTACCTAGAGAACATAATTATATATTATATATTATTTATTATTTATTGATAATGTATGTATTATCAATAAATAATAAATAATATATAGTTATGCTCTATAGGTAATATATGTATTGTTTTATATTTAATTTAGTTTTAAATTTTTATTTGTAAAAAATATTAAAAATTTGCAATTTGAGGTAAAAAAGTGATTTTTTCATGAAATTAGTGGGGTAAGGTGCCTACAAAAAGATCACCTCAATCGGAAATCATAGCGCAAAGTTAGGGCCTTCGAAAGTTTGTGATGTTGTTCGATCTAAGGTTTGTCGAGTTGAACACACAACAAAGAGATCCTGCCAACTAGACGAGGCTAAGGTGGAAGGATGAAATCATGCACTAAGGTTTGCAAGCACATAATGATATCATATGCCCAAGGAGATTTTCCCTAAAAAGGTACTCCGATGCTCAAGTCAATAAGGGAGATGAATAGTCTATCAGGACAAGTTGTAAAAGAGCAGATGGATCCAAACTAAGAAGGATCCTATGGATGTAATAATGATTAATGAGTTGAGAATCAAAATTCCTTTACCTCGAGGGATAGTTGGGTAGGGACTTCGTGGGGTTATTGTGACAATGCCTTTAATAAAAAATGGTGTTGCTGATGTGTGGGTTGGAAGCACCATTTTCTGAGAAAACGGTGCCTTTTTTTTTGTTTGGAAGCATTGTTGTCAAGTATGATATTTCCCCTGGAGCAACAACAATACTTTATGTTTGGTACCAGTGCTCCATATCTGTTTTTAGCACTGATACCCATTATAGGAAGTCCATGTCACTGTCACATCATGTTCTCGTTGGTAGCAATGAGCTCCAATATGAGAAAACGTCAAATGCGGCGTTGCTCCAAACCAYGCCTTCTCGATTTCCAAGGCATGGCTTGGAGCACCATTTTTATGGGAAAACGGTTCCTAAAATATTGATGTTTCATGGAGCACTGTTTTTTTCCGATGTGGCGCTGATGTGTCACTGTTTTCTAGAGCAACGACATCGATGCCAAACAGACGCTTTGTCGCCCTCATTAAGCCACAACTCTCTTGATTGCAAGTTCCATAAGTGTTCTTCAAATTTCAGGCATTTATTGTATTGGGATTCAACATCTTTTAATTTGCTTGGGTTGAAGGATTTGTTGAATCATTTTGCTCAAATAAATACCTTTGGAGTTCCAGTTCCATCTTTTTTCTTTTTTTTTTGTAATGTCTCAAAAAACCTCTGTTTAAAGAGGAAAGCTTCTTTTTAATATCTTTTAATTCATTGACAACACGATAAGCTCTAGAGCAGAATATGGAAAGACTTTTTTCCCTTCTAAGGGCAGTGGATTTGTGTTTAAGACCCTGTTTGTTTGTAGGTAAATAAGCATGGGAAAGTTGGTCAATGGGTAAAAGTTATTTATTGACCAACTTTTCCATATTCTTTTTGCATTAAGCAATGGGTTCCACAGTAAAGTTACCCTTACTTTATTGGATAAGACTTACCCATCTCCTAGGTGGGTAAGTAACTTTCATAGTTAGGAGAAAATTTTACAATAAAAATGTCATTTTATTATTTACCTGTAAATCCTAAAAATCAAAAGAACATGGGCAAGTGCACTTACCCAAGTAAATGTTTCATGAATAACATTTACCTGGGTATGCTGCATTGTTACAAACAAACAAAACCTAAGAGAAGAGGGTTGTGATCTGAATTAATGGCTAGCAGAATGAAGTGCTTAGCTTCCTAGAACCAACTGAGCCATTGTGAGCTAGCAAGGGCTCGGCCTAACCTCTCACGAACACACCTCCATCTAGGCTGATTGTTTGTCCATGTGAAGTAAGGTCCAGAATGGCCAAGATCAGAGAGAACAAAAAAAAATCTATAAAGCTTCTGAGGGGTTGAGAGGTATGAACATGTCTGTTGGAAACCCCACATTTAGAGAGAAAGAGGATATAATTTAAATCCCCCACAAGAACCCATGGAGTATTTTACAAAGTTTAATGGAGTTTTCAGCGTTCACCTTAGTCTCAAAAAGGAAAATTATATGTAGGTTCAAAGTTTTACACCATTTCTTCGGGTTTCTATACCCTTAACCCTCTTACATTCCAAGATAACAAATGTATTTTGTGAGAAGCACATAATAAACAGTATCCAAAGTAACGTGAATAGGAATAGTGACTGAATTATAATGAAAATGGACAATAATAGAGCATATATAGTTTTAAATACCTTGAAAGGAATTGGGATCTGCTCTTCACACAGGGCGCCTCACAATGATCTCACTGGCACATTCCACCGTGCATTGAGAACATCTTCCGTAAATAATAACACATAACTACACAAGTATGGAAGATGTTTCCAATACACGGTGGGATGTACATGTGAGGTCAGTGTGAGGCGCCCTTTGTGAGCTGCAACCTGTTGTTATTGCTTAATATTTGATGTTGTCATTGGGAGAGGATTTTTACTTTTAGGAATTGTGATCCAATTCTTTATATGCCCGGCTGGGCCTGATATTACATGTCCAAACCCAATCTTGGGTTAAACCGGGCCGGACATTTGGGGTGGCCGGGTTTGATAGAAACATGACTACATAGGCCTAGAAATTCGTGTATCGGACTAGGCAGGGTCATAAATGATCATCCTTAGAACCAACTATGAAACCGTCTTGACAGATAGGTTCTGTTCCAAAACCCTGGTTCCTAATTAGAGATTATGCGTTTGTAATGCAAACAATGAACTTGATATCAACGAGGAGATAAAGGAGGATACTTGAATAAGAGATTGGTTGTGTTTGGTACTTTGGTTTAAGGGAAAATATAAGAGAGAAACGGAAATTAGGGGATACATTTTAATGAATTTCTTCAACATTCCTATCAAATCAAACATATCTTAAAGTAATATGTCAAGAATATTTTAGTAAGTGCCAACTCGAATAAGCATTTATTTTGGGTTGAGACCACACCATTAAACACTTATTGGCAGTTGGAAAAAAAAGCTTGAAATATTTTGAATAGACTGAATACGAATCAAGCAATATCTGAATTTGAATCCAAATTCGATTATTTGATATTTGAAGGATATTGAAAATAAATGTTCTAATTCGATTAAATATTTGAATATTTGGTCTTTTAGATAATTAATAAATATATAAAATAAATATTTTATTTATATAAAGTATATACATATATAAGTTATTTATAATTTAATTATTATATATAAATTATATTTTATTATTTATAAATATTAACTAATTCGTTGAATTCAAATATTTATTGAATCAAATCATGTTGATGATGCGCAATCCGGTCGGTCCTAGCTGCCGATTACCTCGCCTTTGACGGAACTGAAGGTGCCTGAAATAAGGAAGAAACTGGAGACTTTCGGGGAGGAACCCAGTTGGAACACTCCGAAGCTCAAGTTAGTGCTCTAGAGAAGGCAAGGGAAATGAGGAACTTCAAGACCAGAAAGCACAAAAATCACATATCTCCTTCTTTGGGGGAAAGGGGCCTTTCATAATCACCTTGGTACACTCACTCCCATACCTCTGCCAGATCGGGTATCATCACCTCCGCCAGATCGGGTGTCATCACCTCTGCCAGATGCCAGTTCGGGTGTTATAACCGCCACTGTCTTCCTTGTCAAGGCCGTCTCTGCCACGTCTGAGATGGCGGTGTCAGGTGGCCGTTGGAGGGCAGCTGTCATGTGTCGGACCCCTAATCAGTTAGGCGCACCGCCTCTGTGTATGGGCTTCCTAGGCGTCAGGTACGGTTGTTCAGTCAGGCGACTTGGAGCCGAAGTGGTGTGCGAGGTGAAGTCTTGAGTTCGGATAGAAGTGTGGCCCGAACTGCCCCGGGGTGGGTCAGCTCGGGCTTTTTGCCCTTTGCGCTCCTTGTAAGGCTCAGGACCTCTAAGGAAGAGCTCGGGTCGTGGGTTCCTTTTTTGGGGGAGCTCGGGACTCCTTTTCTCGGAGCTCGGGTTGTGGGCCCGCTACCGTGCCGAGCTGACGCTCCTGCCAAGTCACTCTCAGTTGCTTCCACGTGTCGCGTGGCCAAGGGGTCGGGCCAAATCTCCCTCCATCAATTGCCCCCCACTCCCCGTGCCCGGGGTCCTGACCCGGCGTGGGGAGTTCACAGGATGACGGGTGGATTTGCCTCGTGACGCTTTGGCCTTGGTTTGGAGCTTCTCTCTTACCTGCTTG